GACCCCCAGTGGTGCCTATGCAAAACTGCAGATCAGTAGAGATCCTTAACTAGAGCTGTAGGAAATGGCCCCCACCACCAAGGGGGAGCTTATCTCAGAGCTGGATAAGAGAGAGGGTTCCACCCCTAGGGTCAATACTCCTAAACTAAGTTTCGTAGGAGGGCAGGCTTCCTAAAAAGAGAATCCGTGTGGCATAATGAGGCTCTAATCTTGGAGATAGGCTTGACTTTGACTGAGCTTCATCACCTGACATACGGGATAAATAGTACCACCTTCATAGATTTATTCTGAGAGCTCAATATGATAAGGTCTGTAAACATTAAGCACCATCTAGTAAATAGTGAGTGTTCAATCACTGTTAGTGGTGGTACTAGAAAATATTATGAATGCAGAGGCCTTACCTTTGTCTTCTGGCTTTCTGTCTCTGCAGGCCTTACATACCCCTTTAAAAAGCTAGGGCTTCTCCATCAGCATATCAGTTTCCAAGGAGTAGGCTGAGCTTTGGTATCTCCTAGTTGAAGACACAGCCAGAAGGGATGGGAGTTGAGACCCCCATTTCCCCAAAGAGGTTATAAGCCTCCTCCCCAGACAGTCTTGAAGAGAATAAGAGGTTATTGTACATAATCCTCCCTCCCTTGGGCCTCAGTTTCACTGTCTGTGGCCTGTGGGAAGAGAGTGCTTCCTCTTCACAGTCTCCATGGCAACCGCGATCGATGTTGGTGTTGGTAGTGTCCTCCTGACAGGAGAGGTCATTGCCTTCTCCACCCCCTTATCTTCTCACACAATTTCATGTCGATATAGTTACACAATGCAGACCCAGTCTCCCAATCATACAGCAACACACCCATACCTACCCAACTTCAGACCTACATCCCACAACCCTCACCCCCATACACACTCAGAAATACACACACTCACACGCAGCCCATAGACACTCAGTCTCTGTATCGATCATATACAAAACACACACCTTTTGTGACAAGTGCATAATCATATGTAAACGCACATAAAAGGGACATATGGGAAACACCCTGATGCCCCTAATATATTCTGACCCATACATCTATTACTTACCCATGTGCAGATCATGTCTTGCGTGCATGCACCTTGCCTTTACCTGCCTTCTAAGCACAGCAGCTCTGTCTGTCCCCTCCCTGTGGCACAGAGTGGCCACCAGTTTCTGGGAGAAGCTCTCAGGGACAGAAGCTGTTTGCTACCTCTCTCCATGACCATCTTCTTCACAGCAAAATTTCCTGAGGATGTAGCCAGTTCAAAGGCTGAGGTGGCCCATATAGAGGAAGAGGAAGAGGCTGTGGCTGTGGCTGGGAGGCTGTGGGGCAGAGGGGGGGGCGGGGAGTGGTGAGGGAGGAGACCCAGGGCGGGAGATGGGGAGGGAGAATGCAGGGCGGTCCTACTCGGGCAGGGGAGCCCAAGGGGGAAGTAATGTGAAGCAGCTGGCCAGTGTGTCTGAGCTTCAGCTTGATGGAGGCCATGCCCCGGGCCCACCATGAACCTGGATGGGCTGGAGATGGTCGCTGTGCTTGTGGTCCTCGCGCTTTTTGTCAAGGTCCTGGAACAGTTTGGCCTCTTTGAGCCTGTCTCCTTGGAAGGTAACCCAGGTGTCTGGCTTATCTGAGCTGCTGGCTGCAGGGTCAGCACTCTGGGAAGGGGGTTGCACTATCTTCATGACTGGGGATGAGGGTGAGCAGGTGAGTGATGGACACCTGGGGGAGGAAGAAGGTTGAGTCTGGGGACCGGATCTGGGACAGAACAAGGGGTCTTCTAGGCAGTCTGGGCTAGGGAAAGTGGGAATGAGGGACAAGGTTTCTTTCTTTTAATTTTACTTCTTTCATTTACTCACTTTTGTTCCCCCTGTGTATGTGGTACTGAGGAATCGAACCTAGAGCTTCATGCATGCTAGGCAAGCACTCTACCACTAAGCCACATTTCCAGTTCCGTGGGACAAGGTTTCTTGTCAGGGAGGACTGGAGTGTGGAGAGAAGATGGTGAGGGGAATCTGGAATATACTAAGATGGGTCTGGAGGCAGGCAGGATCCTGAGATAATGCCAGAGCAAGTCCCTTTTGGAGCCAAGGTCCCACGAAGTTATGAAGATATGACTCTACACCTCCAACTGTGCGGTGTAGTTACAGGATGTGTATACAACCAGTGTGTGAGAAATGGAGTGTCACTGTGTGTTCCTATATGAGAGATGACAAAGTGTATTATCTCTATCAAAGCCTGTGTATATGACAGATAGGTGACTGCATGTGTCAAAATGACTGGGTATGTGGCTTTCTGTGATGATAGATGTGACCATGTCCAAGCAGGACAGAGGATGTGGCTAAGCACCTCTCGGTATTGGGTGATGTTCCCAGAGTTCCCCAAGCTCCATATCCAAAGCTTGGGATGGAAGGAGTTCTGGAGGCATAGGAGTGGGAGCATTTTAAATGAGATGTGTATAACTCTGCTCAGACCAGGAGGTTTAAGGAGTAGATCTGATCAGGTGCTCTACTTCCCAAGCCCCTTGCCTTTCCAAACTCCTATCAGTCTCTAGGTCTTCAATGTTAGAAGCAGGAATTCATTTCCTCATCCCACCTCAAAGAAGAGAAATCTCTACCTCACCAAACCTAGAGTTTTGGCATCCCCTTCCTCTTCACACCAAGAACTATTCAGCTCTTCAGGATCTGCTGTTGCTTAGTAATGCCATGGACAAACAGGACAGTCAAGAACCATAATGGGTAGAGGGAAAGGCTGCAGGGTAGACACCTGAAATAAATTGGAAAGATGCTAAGGAAGTTGGGGAGAGAAGAAAGATCCATGGATTGCTTGTTCTAAGGCTCAATAAGAGTGCACCCCATCCTCTGCTGTAGTCACTGGAGTAGGGACTAGAGAATTCATCCTGTTACACTGAGGAGGCTGGTCTGGGCATGTTTTCATCCTGGCTGGAAAAGATGATGTAGGTTGGCCCCAACTTTCCCCTTTAGACTGTTTGGTAGGAAAAAGGGTCATCTGTGAAAATCTAGCATCCTGTAGGCTGAAGGCAGTCCCTTTCTTTTCCCACCTTCAGAGGAGCCTAGAGGATACTGAGGCTTGAGAATGAGCAAGTAAGGGGGAGGAGGTGGATAAAAGAGGTGGGAGAGCCACCCCCAGTCTGATGACTGTACCATCAAAAGCCCCAGGCAATCCGGCTTTGGGAAACCAGAGTCCTGACTAATGGAGCCCTGGGCCTGAGGCCAGGCCACCATCGATCCCCAATCACAGCCTGTCCCACGGCCTCCCCTCCCACCTCTCTCTAGCTCCTGGAAGGGGTGAAATGAGGAGGGGAGGAGGCCACCATTACATAGTTAACCCCTTAGGAGCAAGGGCTAGTTCTGATGGAATTGGGGGGGGGGCTTGGATCCAGGAGTGACGTAACTAAAGAATTTAGCAATGAACTAAGACCAATTTTTTGTTGTTATTGTTGTTGTTGGCGTGGGGCTTGAACTCTGGGCTTGGGCGCTGTCCCTCAGCTCTTCAACTCAAGGCAAACTCTCTACTGCTTGAGCCACAGCATCACTTCCGGTTTTCTAGTGGTTTATTGGAAATAAGAGTCTCACAGACTTTCCTTCCCCGGGCTGGCTTTGAACCATGATCATCAACCTCCTGAGTAGCTAGGATTACAGGCGTGAGCCACTGGTGCCTGGCTAAGACCAATTTTTGTCAATGAGTCAGGTCCACTGAGTTTTGACCTAGGAATCTGGAGATGAATCCACCTGGGAAATACATAAACATGCACAACAATGCTGAGGGTTCCCTGGGATGCCTTTAGAGCTGAAAAATACACGCAAAAATAAGGGAAAGAGAAGGAAGAAGAAACAATGAGCCCCACTTACCCCTTAATACATCAAAATAGTTATTATTGCCTCAAAATCTACTGTCCTGGGCAGCATGCATGGGTTCAATTCCTCAGTTACCACATAAACAGAAGTGGCACTGTGGCTCAAGTGGTAGAGCGCTAGCCTTGAGCACAGAGAGGATCAAGGACAGTACCCATGCCCTGAGTTCAAGCTCCCAGATTGGGGGGAAAATCTACTATCCTCCTTCCTTCAAAGAACAAGGCCGACTGAGAATTGGAAAAGGGCCATATTTTGCATGTAGCTGTTAGCTGGTGAGGAGCCTTGGAATGGAGGGTTACAGGAAAGAAAAATAGACATAGTCAGGACCAATGAAGCCTCTGTGAGTGAGTGCCATGGGACTTAGGTCACTTATAATATTGGTATGACATGGTAACTTTAATATGTGTGATGATATTCTTAGCACACTTAGTGTTAGGTCACAGGGCCATTGTATGTTTTTGTGGATTTAATCATGTTTGTGAAATAGCTTCTGTGGGTTTCAGTATGTTAGGCTTTTTGTATGTCACATTTGTGCGTTTGTGTTAGGACTACTAGGTAAAAGTATATGTGCTTGTGTCTGTTTGGGAGCATGTTTATTAGGCCATCAGGAGTGTTATAGGATATCAAATTGTCACTGGCACCTCTCTGTGAATTATCATTCTACACTGTTACTATGTGTGCTGGTTAACTCTGTGTGTGTGTGTGTGTGTGTGTGTGTGAGAGAGAGAGAGAGAGAGAGAGAGAGAGAGAAAGAGAGAAGAGAGAGGAGAGAGGGAGGGAGAAGTATTCATACCCAGACAGTCTTTATATTGGACATTACCCTGTGAGGTCCAGCTACAGCATCCAAGACAAATGAAACCCTTTGCCTGCCTTATAATCACAGGCCATGTCCCCTTAATACAGAGTGCCCAAGCTCCACCTCTATGAATTTTCTTTGCCTGTGAGACCTAGTAGACTTCCCAAACCTACCCCAGGCTATCCTATGACTCCCTTTCCACCCCCCGCCCCCCATTCTCCTATTCCTGTCTGTGCCAAGGTTGAGTGGTTGGTGGGAGGGGAAAGGGGACAGAGCAGAGGGTCAGCGGGAGTTAATATACCTTCCTGGGGTCTTCTCTCTCCCCAGGCCACCCTCCAGGGCCCACTAAAAAAGCGCTGAAGCAGCGTTTCCTCAAGCTGCTGCCCTGCTGCGGGCCCCAAGCCCTGCCCTCAGTCAGTGAAAGCAAGTGCCTCTGCTGTGCTTCTGGGGGCGGTGCTCTGTGTGTGTGTGTGTGTGTGTGTGTGTGTGTGTGTGCAGTGTGAGGGGAGGGGATCGGTGCAGGAGAATCCAGGTTGTGAGTGGGTGGCTACTGTGCAAGGTTGTTGGGGTTGGGGGTGTGGACAGGTCCTGAGGGACTGTTGCTGGGGGCGGCGGGTGTATTGGATGTGGCCACTGGTGGGCCACAGCCTGGATCCATGGTGGGCTTGGACAGTGTAGCAGGGGCTGTTAAGGTTCCAGGCGTCCCTTGACTGTGTGGCGGCCCTGCCTAGAATTTGGGCCTCGGAGATGTATGTCACCTATGACCCCCTGCAACAAGGTGGTTGCAGGTGTAGAGGAAGGAACCCACCTTCCTCCAGATTCTTAGCTATCCTTAAGGATCCTTTGATTTTTTTTTCTCTCCCAGCCTGGTCCCCAACTCAGCTCCCTCTGTCTCTAAGTCTCCATTTCTTAGTTGGGCCCTGCCTTCCCCTACAGAATCCTACTGAGTCTGCAAGCTATCAAGGCCCGTTTTGTAGCGAATGGTGCTAGTGTTTGATTCTACCTGAAGGGATAGATTTGCGAGTGAGTGCGTGAGGTCCGTGTTCTGTTGGGCGTGTGCTGATTACGCGTGCCTTTGCGGCCGGGCTGGGGTGTGTGCATTGCAGCACGCAGGTCTGTGAGATCTGTGAGTGTGGGGGCACAGGGAGGGTCTGCAGTGGGCCGGGTCCTCCGCCTTCTCAGTGACAGTTCGCTCCCTCCAGCGTTAGCCGCCCCAGCCTCCCTCCGCCCCCACAGACCCCGCCCGCTGGATCCAGGTGACTTACTCTCCTGGTTGGGGCGGGAGTGGGGCTGGGGCTGGGCCTGTGGGAGTTGAGCCGGGTCTGCTTGCCTGGGGGCTGGACCGTGGGAGCTGGGGGCGGGGCTGAGGTAGGGGCGGGGCCAGGATTGTGGTCTGGTTGGAGGTTGGCTGGAGCTGGGCGGAGCATGGCTCAGGCATGGCTGGGGACCGGAGGATTTGGACTTACCAAGGCTGGGGCTGCAGGTGTTTGAGTGCCTGCGCTGTCTCGTGCCTGCTTTTCCCTCTCCTCCTTTTTTGGGAAGAAGATGCGGCAGGAGGCCTTCCCCTCTAACCAGGGATCAGAGGCCCAAGGACAAGCGCTGAGTCCAGACCAGTCACTCTGGGGCCAGGCCTGGCCTTAGCCCATCAACAGGTCTTGAAGCTGACTAGCGTCTTCTCTGTTTGCCTCCATATTCTCAGCTCGGGGTTCAGTGAACTAGCAGTCAGATCATCAGTGTGGAAGATGAAACAAGGAGGGTGTATGGGGGGGGGTTGAAGATGGTCCTGGGGGCCGGGCCTGAGGTGGGGCTGTCCCCCACCGCTTCCTGCAGACAGCGTGGAGGACGAATTTGAACTCTCCACCGTGTGTCACCGTCCAGAGGGTCTGGAGCAGCTGCAGGAGCAAACCAAGTTCACACGCAAGGAGTTGCAGGTCCTGTACCGGGGCTTCAAGAATGTGAGTTTGAAGGCAAGACCGAACTGGGCGAGTGTTGAAGCACAACAGGCAGGGCGAATGACCTGATGCTTTTGAGAAGACAGGAGGAAGGGACATGGGTGGGAGACCATATTTCCAGCCTGAGTTTCAGAGCCATGGCCAGAACAGAGGCAGACTGTAAACTGGGGGATTTATAACATGATTTTAAATTGCACACTGGGGAAGAAGTCTTTCTGGCCTTTACCTGAGCCACTTGATGAGTCCCTGGAGGCATGAAGATTTTTCCTTGCTCTGTTTGTCTCTGGCCAAGGTGAGGTGGGGGAAGGGCAGTGAATAAAAACAGGTTTTATGTGTGCCCCAAAACTCTTCTTTCCCTCCTAGGAATGCCCCAGTGGAATTGTGAATGAGGAGAACTTCAAGCAGATTTACTCTCAGTTCTTTCCTCAAGGAGGTAAGGTGGCAAGGTCCAAAGGGAAGCAGTCTAGGCTGAGTGGGGGAGAGGGCTCTGGAGGGCTTGGTATGCCAAGGTGATCAGGGGGTGTAGGGGAGCTGCACAGAGAAATCCTCTCCTGTCCGGAAACCTGGCTTAATTCCATACTCATCCTATAGACTCCAGCACCTATGCTACTTTTCTCTTCAATGCCTTTGACACCAACCATGATGGCTCCGTCAGTTTTGAGGTGAGCTGGGGGAGGTGGACTAGCAAAGCCTACTTCCTGGGCCTTCAAGGCCAGTATCTCCAGGCCAAACCCAAGGCTTGAGTGAAGACACAGATCTCTTTACCTCCTTCCTAGGACTTTGTGGCTGGTTTGTCAGTGATTCTTCGTGGAACCATAGATGACAGGCTGAATTGGGCCTTCAACTTATATGACCTCAACAAGGATGGCTGTATCACTAAGGAGGTGCAGGGCAGCTTGAAGGGCTGGGAGGCTACTATATTGGTGTGTGTGTGTGGGGGGGGTGGTGGTGGTGGTGGTGCAAAGCCATATGGGAAGAAAGCAACCCATGTATGTATCACCAAGAAGGGCTAAAATCCAAGGCCTCTTGGTTTGGAGACTAGAGCTTCTGAGGAAGGGATTTTCTTCTCTCGTGGACTACCAGGAAATGCTGGACATCATGAAGTCCATCTACGATATGATGGGCAAGTACACATACCCTGCACTCCGGGAGGAGGCCCCAAGGGAACATGTGGAGACCTTCTTCCAGGTACCTGGGACTGGGTGGGTTTGAGAGCCTTGGAGTAAAGGGAAGAACCAAAAAGGGGATTTATCTGAGTTTTTACTGCTCTCTCCTACTGTCCTTTTTCTCCTCCCTGGCTGGCCACCTGCTTGTAGAAGATGGACAGAAATAAAGATGGTGTGGTGACGATCGAGGAATTCATTGAGTCTTGCCAAAAGGTACAGCCCTACCATCTACATTTCTCTGGTCTGGACTCCAGGTCTGAATCAGTGATGTAGGAAAAGGCTCCTTTGGGTAGAGTGCTTCTTCCCCCCTCACTCCCTTCCCCCAACACTGTTCCCTCTGATTAGGGAGGGCATGCCCCTTCCTTTTTTCTTTTTTGGAGGGGGGAGGTCGTGGGGCTTGAACTCTGAGCTTGGGTGCTGTCTCTCAGCTCTTCAGCTCAAGGCGAGCGCTCTACTGCTTGAGCCACAGCACCACTTCTGGTTTTCTATTGGTTTATTGGAGATAAGAGTCTCGTGGACTTTCCTGCCCGGGCTGGCTTTGAACCGTGATCCTCAGATCTCAGCCTCCTGAGTAGCTAGGATTACAGGCATGAGCCACCGGTGCCCCTTCCTTATCTCAAGTTTCTCTGGCTTTCCCTCTGCCTCTAAATGTCCCCATGTCGGATTAAATGTCCTTCTCCCTGTATCTGACAAGCGTTTTTTCCCCTTCTCCCTCTCTTTCTTTCTCCAATCTGCTTCCCTCACACCATGACCACAGGACGAGAACATCATGAGGTCTATGCAGCTCTTTGACAATGTCATCTAGCTCCCCAGAGAAGGGGAGACAATGTGTCCTGGGGGGAACCATGCTCTAGTCCTAGTCCAAGTGGACCGCACCTTTTCATCCTGGATCTGTCCTCATCCTAGCTGTACCCTGGGGCCTGTAGGGATCCAAGAGCCTGGAGCTTCTGTAGTACAGATCCCTGGAGCTAAAGGGGCCAGATAGTGAGCAAAGTGCATTTGGGGGGTCTTCCCATCTCCCAGCAGCTTTCACTTCCTTCCTGCCTGAGACCCAGTGCTGAGGGCGCCCCTGCCGTGGGCACACCATCCACCCTAACTCTAGAAACAACACTAGACAGAATGTTCTCCTGCTATGGTGCTTCTCCCATCCCTGATCTCACAAACATCCCCTAATACTCCCTTCTCAGAGAGGATGCTCTGTCCTTGGCACTAGCTGAAATTACAGACCAGTCTTTGGGAGGGAGACAAGAATGCAGAAGAAATCTTAGGCCCAAGTCAGTGGTTAGATCTTAGGAGCTGGTTGGGGTAGAGAACCGAAAGTATCAGCAGATCATGATCTCTCAGGTTCCACACATCTGCTACCCCAGGCCATCAGCATATGAGTTCCTAGTGTTTACAGAAGGCCTTAGAAACATCCCAGAAATTTACAATAACCACCTTTCTCAGTGTCCTAGGAGAGCCCAGGATCCAGATATCTGGCTCATTCCTGGAATTCCTACCTCTCTCTCCTTTTGTTTGTATGATGGTGGTTGGCAGGAGAAGATGGGTAGGAGACATCCTGGCTGATGCCCACAATTTCAGCCTATCTGTCCTGCCCATTCACCTATTTTGATGGCTACAACTTTGAGTTGTCATTTGCCATGTCCTCTGGATCTGGAGGCATGGAGTGAGCCAGGATTATTCTGAACTTGGGTCCTACCACTCTTCTCAGTGGATGCCTTAGGGGGAGAGGGAAAAAGGCAGGCAGGCATAGTACCTGAACCCAGTGTGGGGGCATTCATTAGAATCTTTGATCAACCCAGGCTCTACCCCACATAGCCTCCTTTTCCTCTACTCAGTATACCCAGAGATGTTCCTTAACATACCAAGAGGGCAGGGACCATAGGACCCAGGTCCCACCTGATTGTCAGCACCCCTGCCATGCTGCTACACCCTTTATATACTTGCTTGTCCTATTTAGCTCAGACTCCCAGTTAACTAGAATCTGAGGGGAAAGGTCCCAGAAGCCTCCTACCCACCCTATCAGACACTGTTGACTGCTTTGCATTTTTGGCTCTTCTGTATATTTTGTAAAATAAGAAATTCACTGATCCAATAAAACACTATGGCTATGCACATATTGCTGTCTGTCTTTTTGTCCCATCCCAAAATCTGCACAACTCTAAACTCACATTTCTAAAGCCTTTTACATCCTTCAAGGAAGTGCTTGTTGCTGGGGACCAGTGGCTTATGCCTGTAATCCTAGCTACTCAGGAGGCTGAGATCTGAGGATTGCAGTTGGAAGCCAGCCCAGGGAAGAAAAGTCTGTGAGACTCTTACCTCCAATAAACCACTTAGAAAAAGCTGGAAGTTGTGCTCTGAAGCACTAGCCTTGAGCACAAAGACACTTGGGGACAGTGCCTAGACCCTGAGTTCAACCCCCAGGACTGACAAAAATAAAAACAAAAACAAAGTGCTTGTCTTTCATATCTGGCTGTGCCTCATGACCCAGTTTCTGGAATGATTGGAAACCCATCTAACTTCAGCCCCCACTCCCCACATGACTCTCCTACCCACACTCTGGAGGAGACAGGGACAAACTGTGGATGTCCCAAAGACCATGTATGCCAAATATACTATCTATCTAGTTAGTTATTTTTGTGCTGGTCCTGGGGTTTGAACTCAGGGTCTGGGCACTGTTCCTGAGCCTTTTGCTCAAGGTTAGTGCTCTACCACTTTAGCCACAACTCTACTTCTAGGTTTTTGCTGGTTAATTGGAGATAGGAATCTCATGGACTTTACTTCCTGAACTGGCTTTGAACCTCAATCCTCAGGTATCAGCCTCATGAGTAGCTAGGATTTCAGGTATGAGCCATCAGCTCATGTGGATTAATGTTCCACTTATGGAAGATGAAACAAAATATGCCATTCTAAATTGACATTAATTGGGAGTGGTACTGGGATTTGAACTTGGACTTTGCTTGCTTGGCTGGCACTCTACCATTTGAGCTACACCTCCAGTCTGTTGTGTGTGTGTGTGTGTGTGTGTGTGTGTGTGTGTGTGTGTGTGTACACATGCATGCACGCCAATCCTGAGGCTTGAACTCAGGGCCTGGGCACTGTCCATGAGCTTCTTTTGTTCAAGTCTAGCATAGCGCTCTACCACTTGAGCCACGGAGCCACTTCTGGCTTTTTCTGTTTATGTGGTACTGAGGAATTGAACCCAGGGCTTCATGCATGCTAGGCAAGCACTCTATCACTAAACCACATTCCCAGCCTGACCCTGACATTTTTGTTGATTAAATGGAGAGGGAAATTCACAGACATTTCAGTTTTGGCTGACTTGAAACTGTCTGATATTAGAGATGGCTTGGGATGTTAGGGTATCACATAAGAATGAAGACACCAAAAGGAACTTGGCAAGGCAAAGTTTACTTCTGCAGAACAGTGCACTATCAGCCAAAAATCTAGCAAGCAAGCACCCAGAACAGGCAGGCGACTCCCAAACCCAGCAGGCCTTGCCCCTCCTGTTCCTACTGACTGAGTGCAGGTTCACAATCTGCAAGAAGATATGGTTTAACAGCATGTAGCAAAATTTCAAGGCCCTTTAAACAAGATTTCTTAAAGGGCAGCTGGAAAGTATGTAACTAAAATATAACTAAAAGGGCCAAGCTACAGGGGGCTGGTGGCTCAAGTCTGTAATCCTAGCTACTCAGGAGGCTTAGATCTAAGGATCACGGTTCAAAGCCAGCCCAGGCAGGAAAGTCCATGAGGCTCTTATCTCCAATAAACCACCAGAAAACTGGAAGTAGTGCTGTGGCTCAAGTGGTAGAGTGCTAGCCTTGTGCTGAAGAGCTGAGGAATAGCACTTAGGCCCAGAGTTCAAGCCCCATGACCGACCAAAAAAAAAAAAAAAGGGCCAAGTCACTTGGCCAAAGCAGGAATTTTTCAGAAAAACAATTCTCATATTAACAGAAAGGAAGCAAACTACTTTGATAGAAAAGACACTTTTCCCACACTGAGTAGCTAGGATTACAGGCACGAGCCACTGGTACCTAGCTCTGTGTGTGTTTGTGTGTGTGTGTGTGTGGTGCTGGAGCTTGAACTCAGGGTCTGGTAGTGATCTCTGAGCTTTTGCGCTCAAAGCTAGTGTTCTATCACTTAAGCCACAGCTCTACTTCTGGCTTTTTTGGCAGTTAATTGGAGATAAGAGTCACAGGGACTTTCCAGCCAGGCTGGCTTCAAACTGCAATCCTTAGATCTCAGCCTCCTGAGTAGTTGGGATTACAGGCATGAGCCATCACTGCCCCACTTTTTCTTTAGTTATTAATGACCAAGTTCCTTTATTATTTTATTTATTTATTTTTGTCAGTCGTGGGGCCTGAACTCAGGGCCTGGGCGCTATCCCTGAGCTTCTTTTGCTCAAGGCTAGTGCTCTACCATTTGAGCCACAGCACCACTTTTGGCTTTTTCTATGTATGTGGTACTGAGGAATTGAACCCAGGGCCTCATGCATGCAAGGCAAGCACTCTACCACTGAGCCACATTCCCAGCCCCACGAGTTCCTTTACACAAACATCTCAACCTGGCATCCAATGTAGATAAATACATTTATGTCTACATCTCAATCAGGAATGAGGGGATTAGATGGAATGGACTCAGGGCAGATCAACACAAAGCAACAGGCATAAGAATGACAGACTTCTTATATGTTCCCACTTTTCTTGGTTTGCCTAGAGAATCCTCCCATCCTTTCTCTGGGGCCCTGCTACCAAGTCCTATTTATTTATTAATTTATTATTTATTTTTGGTCATGGGGCCTAAACTCTGGACCCAGCAGCTCTGTCCCTGAGCTTTTTTGCTTAAGGCTAGCACTATACTACTTCTGGTTCTCTGGTGGTTAATTGGAGATAAAGTGTCTCACTGACACTGACTTTCCTGCCTGGGTTGGCTTTGAACCATGATCCACAGCTCTTAGCCTCTTGAGTAGCTAGAATTACAGGTGTGAGCCACCAATGCCCAGCCTACCAAGTACTTTCGAGCTTCAACATCTAAATAGATAATTGCCTGTTTGACAACTCCATATAGACTTACAATGACCAAACATGTTCACAATGGAGGTTAGATTTATGCCTTCCCAGCCTTCTCCATCCTGTATAGCACACAACCTATGCTCCAAACATACTAAACAAGCACTCTATCAATTATATCTGTATTCCTTCAGATTTTAAGTCTTCATTTGCAGTTAGAAAATTTAATTCAGGGCTGGGAAGGTGGCTCAGTGGTAGAGCACTTGCCTTGCATGCTTGAGGCCCTGGGTTCGATTCCTCAGCACCGCATAAGAAAAAAGCCGGAAGTGGCGCTGTGGCTCAAGTGATAGAATGCTAGCCTTGAGCTGAAGAGCTGAGGGACAGGCCCAGAGTTCAGGCCCCACGACCGGACCCAAAAAAAAAAAAAAAAAGAAAAGAAAAGAAAAGAAAATTTAGGGCTGGGAAGGTGGCTCAGTGGTAGAGTGCTTGCCTTGCATGCATGAGGCCCTGGGTTCGATTCCTCAGCACCACATAAGCAAAAAGAAAAAAGCCAGAAGTGGCACTGTGGCTCAAGTGGTAGAGCGCTAGCCTTGAGCTGAAGAGCTGAGGGACAGTACCCAGGCCCAGAGTTCAGGCCCCACGACCGGACCCCAAAAAAAAGAAAAGAAAATTTAATTCAGTGGTACAGTGTTTATCTTGAGGTCCTTCTATCCCCAACACTGCCAATAAATAGATAAATAAAATCTTCATTTCATTCTCACTCTTTGCCCCCATTTTGTTGTTTTGAGGCTTTTGTTTTGTTTTGGTTGGTCATGGGGCTTGGGCCTGGGCATTGTCCGTGAGCTCTTCAGCTCAAGGCTAGCGCTCTACCACTTGAGCCACAGTACCATTTCCCGTTTTCTGGTGGTTAACTGGAGATAAGAGTCTCATGGACTTTCCTGCCAAAGCTGGCTTTGGACTATGATCCTCAGATCTCAGCCTCCTGAGTAGCTAGAATTACAGGCATGAGCCACAGGCGCCCAGCTTTGTTTCATTTTCAAGGGAGAATCCTTCTGTGTAGTCCAAGCTGGCCTCCAACTCCTGCTAAACTTCCCACCTAAGCCTCCTAAGTGCTGGAATTATAGGTACACACTCAGCTCTTTCCCCTATCAGTCACCAGTTTCACTACCAGCACTCTTTCCTAGTTCCAACCATTTTCATCCCTCACCCAGACCACAGATTAATTGCCCATCTGAAGTATCTCCTACTAACTTGAGCTCCTACTCACTACTAGATTTCCCCTTTCACAGATCCTATCACAAACTAAGTTCTATGAATTTGTTACAGATTGTTCCACCAGCCAAACTATAAACTCTGTGATGGTAGAGCCCTATGTTATTCATTCCAAAAATATTTATCATGTGCCTTAGTTCCAGTTGTAGGTGATAAGGCCAGAAGCAGGGATAGGAGGGCTTGTGTAACAATTGTGTGCCCCCTCAACTCCCTGCAAGTTGGAGAAAAACAGACACAGACTGTTGATCTTGCTCCAGACTCTGCACTATGGACAGCAGATGAAATTGTGGCTACTGACTTGCTACCAGCCTCCACTCTAACATGTGCCTGGCATGAATTCGAATGACAGCCCTCAAATCTCCCAAAGGACTATACCTAGTGAAACCACTATGGCCCCAACTGTTATCATAGGAAATCTAAGAAAATGCTTGCTCCTTCTTGCTTGCTCTGACTCATATGCGAAAACTGGATATAGGGAAGATTAGCATGACCTCTGTGGCCATAGCACACAGATTTGTGATGTGTCCCATTTTATACCTGAAGGAAGTCTGGGCACTGGTGGATCATGCCTATAATCCTAGCTACCCAAGGGGCTGAGATCTGAGTGAGGCAGGATAGCCTAGGGAAAATGAGGCATGGTAAATGGTTGCCAGGAATTCAAACATTCAAAGCTTGTCCCTACACTTAATCAAGGGAATAAGGTCATTTAGAGGAAAATAAAACAGGATAACTTAAGG